GGCATTTTAAATGCATTTTTATTTTGTATACAAATTTAAATAACTGTCAGTAGTTTGTTTTAATAATATATAACTATAATTTTTACGCAGCTTATCACTTAAATGTTATGTGTCGTGTATTGATCWGCTTTTACTAAGTCAATTTGTATATCCTAGAATGTACACTATGTGTGAAGAATTTCAGCTTTTACTGAGCAMAAATAGTAAAACCTAGCATTAACTAGTAAAACCTAGGTGTACCTAGTGATCGGGCATTTACGATAAAATATACATTTTGAGGGCACAAATGTCACACGCTTTTGGCCCAGCTGCAGCTCACTTAAATCGGCACATCACCGGTGAACCTACTTTTATGTATAATTATGTTGCATATAGTTARGTAGGTACTTATGAATTATCATGAGAAATATACCTACTCGATATCGTACGATAAAACGTTTCACGGTTAATGGATATCGTCGACAGCGTTTCAGTCGTTGTTTTTGACAACATATTTGTCACATTGTTTTTTCTTATCAAACCGTAGCCCCCCTATTTATATATATATAGATGCACCGCAATACATAAAATATACATAGGTAAAACACTATACAACATTACGTGTTAGCTGGCGTCTATATATATATGTGCAGGTCGTGGTTGTAATATTTTTTATTTAATAGATGTTCAATATAATATTATAATGAAACGTCTGTTACAAGGAAACGAGTTTTTGATAACAATTCAAATTCATCAATTTTTATCAATACTATACGCTTGATATCACATATCATTGTCAAAGATTGTAATTTACGGAAGGATACGATAGTGTAGTGCACGACCCGAACATGCGGTATATCGTATACAGCAGGAATATTATAATATTATCGTACGATAATTTGACGAAACGATTGATGCCATTAAAGGTATACCAAAGTACAAAATTACATTCGGAATTCGGTTGGTTAGATTATCGTACGAGTGATATATTGTCATACAGGCAAATATAGATAATCGCGGAACAGAATGCGAGTTTCACGTAGATAAATCATACAGGTGGTACACTG